GGCAGCAGCGGCGGCGGCGGTAGCGACGGCGGCGTTGCGACGGCTTTTATTTTTAATAGCGGCCCGTGTATTCGCGTGCGTGTTCATGGAGCGGAAGTACTAAATTCGCACGATAAGCACGCTACGCGCGTTAAACATGCCTAAGTATCGATTGCCCGGACCGCGTGAGAGGGGGAGGACAAGACGGCTGTAGGGAGAGTAAGGTGAGAAAAAAACAAGGTGACAACATAGAAGCATCGGAAGGTATAGAAGAAGGGTCGGGAATAAACGTGGTAGGACGGAGGACCGGTGCCGGTGGCAATAGGTGCAATAGGTCATCGCAGGGCAGCTGAAGGGGTGGGAAGGGGGAGGCCAGAGCGGTGGGACTGAGCGGGGACAGCGAGCAGTTCAATGAAAGTCATCGTAAACGGAAGGGGAACGGAACTGCGAAACGGGGCACACAGAGGGATCGGAGAGAACGGGTGGAGGATAGAGAACGGGAGAACGTTCCGCCATGCCGACGTCGTGGGAGAAAGACAGCGGGAAAGAGAACGCCAGAGAGCTTGCGCAAGCTTCCCCCCGCCGCAGCTCCGATCGGCGGACGGCGGTTAAGCCAGCCGCACGTTCCGAGTTTTCGTGCCAGCAGTCGACTCGCAGCCTGGCTTTCCAACTGGCACGCCGGAGTGCTTTCACGTACTGTGCCCTTCGCTCCCTTGTCTCGTCCCTCTCCTCTCCTCCGGGTCTCTCCTTTCCCTCGCAGGTCTCTTTTAATCTCTCTTTCTCTCTCTCCGCTCTTTAGCCCCGTGTTTCATATTCCACTCTCCGCGACATGACGCGTTGATGATCTACACGCTGCAGCGTAGAACCAACAGCAGCGGTAGTGCTCGTTTCGGACTGAAAACCACCACCGCCGCCGGTGGTGGTCCACTATGAGATTCGGTCTCGAACAGCATCCTTGAAGCGCCTTTCGAAGCTTTATGTGCGTCAGTGTGCGATTAAGAATCCCGAGGAAAACTGTGCCAGGCGACGTCGTGGTCGATACGCCAAGGACAACGATGATGTAAATTCCAGTACGCAAACGATTCGCTTTAGAAAGACCTTGTTCGTCCTGATGAGAGAGAAGATGGCACACTCGAAGGGATCCGCGTGGAGGATATCGCGTCGGTGATTTCAATCGGCAGAACGAGCTTTCCGAAGAGTAATTAGGAAAAAATCGGAGTAATCAGGGAGCATGAGAGTGTTATGGTAAAGGTGCGTGAATGAACGTACGTATTCCATTGTCGACGACAGTAGTCAAATTACTCCAACGAGTTCTCCATTCAAAAAAATAATTTCTATTATCTCTCATCGCTAGCGATTTAGAGCTAAGAGTATCTCTAAGAATTGCATGATCTTTTTATTTGGATTCTGAGATTCTCAAAGTTTGTTTCTATAAAATAAATGTATTTTGATTAATGTCCATTCTACAACAAAGTCGTAAGCCGTAAGAAATTACCAATCACAATCGAATACGAGAAAAATAATTGATTACGATTGGTTAATTTCTTATGACTTCCCCCCCCCCCCCCCCCTTTGTAGAATAAACATAAATTTTTCTCCTCTTCCGTCTTCTAAAACTGTATATATGTAGTAAAAAATAAGAATTCCTGAACCTTTGCTGGATCCGAACTGTCGGTGTAATCGCGATCAAATCGTTACGGAAATCACATTCTTATTGTGTATGCATCGCAACACAGACGCGTTTTCGACGTCGAGACGGTAATATGAAATAATCACGACGAAATGTCGGTAAATCGGGAAAAACAATC